AATGTTATATTTGAATTTCTCTGATGATGGGGGATGTTAAACCCATTTTGATATGCTTATTGGCCATTCGGTTAGCCTCTTTTGTACACTGTCTGTTCTTTTGCCCCTTTTTGTTGGGTTGTTTATTTTTTCCTTATTGATTTGCAGGAGAGCCTGAGATTCTTAAAGAAATCCTCATGGAAGCAGCCCCTCTACATTCACACTCGCTTTGTGCCTGTGTTTGTTCATGTCTCACAGCCCCCGGGACTCCCCCAGAAGTGTTCATTGCTGTGGGGTCTCATATACCCTTAAGCCTGTAGGAATGAGGTAGGGGGTTTTGGTTTCTGGAAGCCCCCTGTAGTTAGGCTCCTGATTTCCAGAAGGAGCCATTTAAAAGAAAAAAGAAGAAACATACACATTTATGTAAATGGAAACTTAGTGTGGAAAGTATCTGGGCCAGCCCCGTGGCGCACTCGGGAGAGTGCAGCGCTGGGAGTGCAGCGACGCTCCCGCCGCGGGTTCGGATCCTATATAGGAATGGCCGGTGTGCTCACTGGCTGAGCGCAGTGCGGGCGACACCACACCAAGGGTTGCACTCCCCTTACTGGTCACGAAAAAGACAAAAAAAAAAAAGAAAGTATCCCTTGCTTTACCATATTTTAACCTAATTATATATTTCTTGAATATCTTTCCAAGCTAGCATAAAGAGACTTCCATTACTCTTTCTACCAGCTGCAGAACATTCCAGTATAGGTACTGGCCACAATTTTCCAGTTGCCCAATAACAACTTTCAGGCTTTGCATCCATGAGGTAGTATATCTGTGCAACAAAGTCCTGGAATGTATAGTTTGCTGGTGCAAAGTATACATTCTTCTTTAAAAAAATTTTTTTTGGAGGGATGCTGAGAAATTGTTCTCCAAAGAGGTTGTGACAGTTTACACTCTCACCCATTTCTCCACATCCTTGCCAATGCTGAGTAATAACACGCTTGAAAAATATTTGTCAGTGTGAGGTAAAATTATTTTGCTATTTTAATTTTATGTCATTAATTATTAATGAAGTTGAATATTTTTCTGATGTTTATAGGCTAAATATATCTATATATTTTTCTGAGAGCTGCATATTAGTGCCCTTTGCCTATATTTTTGGTTGAGTGGTTAGGTTTTTTAAAATGAACTTTTAAGTGCTCTTTGTATGTTTGAAAAATTAGTCCTTTTTCTGTCACATGTGTTGCAAACATTTTTCCAGTTTTTTCATGTGTCTTTTGACTTTGTTTATGGTGATTTTTGTGGTGCTTTACATTTTTGTTATTGTCAAATGTGTCTATCTTTTAGTTTATAGTTTCTGGGCAGCAGCTACTGTTTTCTTTTCTTTTCTTTTTCTTTTTTCTTTCTGACTGGCCATAGTTTTCAAGCTCTTGTTATCCAGGGATCATTGAGTATACAGGATCCCTGGGTGAGAATCATTTGAAGTAGAAATATGCTGGAAATACAGAGGAAGGATTACAAGTGACTGAAACACCCAACTAAAATTGACTTAAAAAAGGAATTTATTGGCTCATGTAACTGAAAAGTCTGGGTTCAGCTGGGTTCTGGGCCTCAAAATGCATCATCGGGATGCAATCTCTCTCCTCTCTCTCGCAGTCTTCCCTAATGTCAGCTTCACTTGCAAGCAGACCCTTTGACATGGCATCTACGTGTCCCCAGCTTACATCATTCTTACCATCCACAGCACCTACAGAAACTGCTCTTCCCCAATTGTCCTAGCAAAAGCTCCAGGGTTGAATTTCACTAAACCAATCTTTATTGAGAACCTATCCCTGGACTAATAGTGAAATGTGTTGATTGGCCAGGCCTGGGGTCATGGTCCAGCCCCTAGAGCAAGTTTGGGGTTGGTCAGCTGGACCAAAACACAGAGATTGGTGATTCCCCAGAGGAAAGCAGAGGCCCTGTTACCCAGGTAGGGAAAACCTACCTGGAGGATGGATCCAAACAACCGTGCCCGTAGCAGAGGTGCCAGTGGGCAGTGAGCTCTGATTCTCTAGCTAGCTGGTAATGTTGTCCTTCTTACTCTCAGAACCCCAGGCTGGAGAAACCCGTGCTGCTCTCTGAATTTTCCACCAAGATCCCACGGGGTGAACTGGACATGCCTGTTGAGAATGGCCTCCGGGCTCCGGTCAGCGCCTACCAGTATGCACTGTCCAATGGGGATGTCTGGAAGGTGCATGAGGTGCCCGACTACAGCATGGCCTATGGCAGCCCTGGCATGGCTGATGCCACCCCGCCCTGGAGTGGCTACAAAGAGCAGAGCCCCCAGACGCTTCTGGAGCTGAAGCGGCAGCGGGCTGCAGCCAAGTTGCTCAGCCACCCCTTCCTGAGCACCCACCTGGGCAGCAGCATGGCCAGGACTGGCGAGGGCAGCAGTGAAGGCAAGACCCCCTTGATCGGAGGCAGAACTTCACCATACAGCAGCAATGGGACCTCAGTGTATTACACAGTCACCAGCGGAGATCCCCCGCTCTTAAAGTTCAAGGCCCCCATGGAGGAGATGGAGGAGAAGGTCCATGGTTGCTGTCGCATCTCCTAGTCTCCGTGTGATGAAGGAGAGAGATTCCTCAGGGGAGGAGTCCCTGAAATCCAGGCCAGCCCAACAGTCCTGTCTGGGGAGGTATCAGAGGGCAGCTGGGTGAGAGGTGGGCTCAGCATTCCTCTGGAAAGCAGAGCCCACCTCTCACCCAGCTGCCCATAGCGTCACCGCTCCCCATGGTTCTGCTTCCTGCTGCATTGTCTGCCACCTGAAACAAGGCTCGCAGTGGCCTCCTGACTCTCTCTGCTGTCTGATTTTGGGAGAGCAGGCTTGAAATCCCAGTTCTGTTCTTGGTAAAGGCCTCTCTGGGGCAGTACTTGCATGTCACATAACACACACACACACACACTCAGGCACACACACAACTAATGTGTGCAGGAATGACACACGTGGGCTCATGGGAAGCAGGTGGGGCTGAGAATTTCTGGGCTATTCCCAAAAGTCTTGAGGTTAAGCCTTAGAGTGTCATCACCACTGCCAATGTGGCTTTAGCAGGGGAGGGGGCCTGCTAAGATGAGACCCATAGTCCTGCTCAGAGTCATACCAGGGTCTGGGCCACCATCCATACCTGGCAGGGGCAGGAAGTCCTCACTGTGTTCAGAGGGAGCCAGGAATCCACCTGGGTTAAAGATGGGCAGGCCTGCTCCCCACTACCTTGCTGAGAGCCCCACTCCTGCTCATGCTGGGAGCCAGCTGTGTGACCACCCAGGGGCCAAGGTGGAAAACCAGCCATTTCCACTCCCGGAATAAACCAAATCATGTTCTGCTCTTGGTTAGAAGTATCAAAGGGGCAGGGGAGGTGACAAAGTCAGTGTTTCCAAAAGTGCATTTGATTAAAAAAAAAAAATTCTTTTAGGCTATAAACCTCCAGGTGGGAGGTAATTCGCTTTCTACCAAGCATCGTATCACAATCACTGGGTTTTACTGGCTGGTGTTGGAAAAACGAAGCTAAGTGAGGAGCTTCTGTTGGAAGGCCTTTTGTAGAGAGAGGGTGAGGTAATTTCTGAAACATGGCTGGTTAACAAGGACAGAGCCCAGCGTCCTGGCCAGTCTTGATATATTCAAGTCATTTCAGTCCAGGCTTCCTCAGACTGAGGCATCAGAGTGAGCAGTTAGGGGTGGCCTGGGCACCCCCGCCTCCCACCTTCCATGTCAGTCATGTATGCAGCGTGAATGCCCAGGACTCTGGGCCAAGCATTCCCTTTTCTGGAATGCTTGGTGAGGCAAATTTGCCACCTGGCCCTTGTGAGTTCCTGCCTGGCCCAGGGGCTCCCAGCCTGCTCCTGCTGGAGGAGTGGTGATGCCCTAGGGCTGCAAATCCGAGGTACCCAGGGCCATGTCCTCTACTGCATTCAGAAGAGCGGTGGTAGGGCTGGAGTTGGGTCACACCCAGCTCTGCGATTCATAGCCTGGGTCTCCTGATGCTGGAGAGAGGAGCACAAGGGGCAGGCCGCCCTTCACCGCACCAGGCATTCCCTCATGAGCCCTCTGAGCTTGTGGCCCATGAGCTGGGCACTGTCCACAGGCTCAGCCAAAACTTTTTGGTGTAACAAACCAAAGGTTTGTTCCCTGCTCTGTGCGCCTTTTATTTGTCCTAAAACTACCTCCTTAGAGCTGTGAAGGGGCCCCCTACGTCCAGATTCTAATTTGGGGAACAGATCTGGGTTTCCTTTAACCCGCTTCTTTCTGAGCCTGTGAGAAATTCTCCGAGGGATACCTGGACTGAGGGCTGGGGCTGGAAGAGACCCTCTTGTGCTACTATCCTCTTGTAATGGGATCTGCTGTTTGTCAGTTCCAGTCCCCTACTGTGGTCCCCATGGCCCCTGTAGCCCAGATAGGAAGGTGGACCTCAAGGGACCTGGCTGATACTTTACCAGGAGCAGGGCAGCTGGGCGAGGGAGCAGAGGGCTCATGGGAGTGACTGTGCCCCTGGTGGCTGCTGGACACAGAGAGGGTCTCATAGCATCAGGCCATCCCCACCCCAACTCTAGGACAGATGTTGTCTAGGGTGGAGGGGTGGCCCAGGAGACCAAAGACAGGTGTACATGATGCTTTTCACATCTCTGGGGTCTGAGGTGGGCTCTCCCTTGTCTCAGCCTGTGGCTGGAGCAGGATGGAGATGATCCAAAATCCACATGCCTTTGGCTTTAAAACAGTATTCAGCCCAGACTGACACTGAAATTCCTCTTGAGCTGACTTAAGCTACAAGGTAGGGAGTGCCAAGGGAAGCCAAACACTCCCCAGGAGAGAGCTGTGCAGACTTTTGGATCTTTTTACTCAAGGGCCAGAGACTGAAGGCATTTATTGCCCACCCTGAGCCCTTCAGGCTGTTCCCTCCTCCGCCATTGCTTCTTGTCTTCTGGGCCATTCCTCTCCACCCTGAAGGTCGGGAATCGTAGCTGATTCCCTGACAAGAGCCATCTTGAGACAGAGATGACTCTCGGGCATTAGCTCATGTTTTCAGGCAGGGATGAACCATTCCCTGTTAGGGTTTCAAGTCCCTGGGGAGTTTTCCCTGTGGGTCTCCTGGGTGTTTAGGGACAAGATGGGGAATGGGCTGCAGTGAATGAGCCATGGTCATTCATTTACTCACTCACATAACTTGTGTAGCTGCAACATACCATGCACTGTTAGGTTCTCTGGATAAAGGAGGAACAAGACAGGAGAACTGCTCTTTCCAGTTTTCATCCCTCAAGGACCACAGACATCAGCAGCCCCATTCATGTCACCTGAGGCAGAGTGACTGCCTTTCAGTCCAGTGTCCCTTTGCTTTTCAGCTCCTAGAATCCTTAGAGTATGAATCTGTTTAGCTGAGAAACAGCTGTCATGGCCACCCCTGGATAAACATTTGCCACTAAGTGCAGATGCTGGATCTTGGGTTCCATCCAGGCAGTCACCTTCCCAAGTCTGTCTGGAACTTTCAGGGGTATTCAGGCCAGCATCTTTAAGGGACTGTAAAGTAGCAGTTTAAAGTCAGTGTCTAGAAGAATGAGTCCGCAGTTTGCTGCCAAATGCATCTCAGGTTCTTAATGTCACTGTGTCTTGCTCATTTTTGCTCTTTTATTATATAGTCCCGCCACCCCACCAAAGGATAATGGGAGGAAAAGCAGCTTCTTTTAAGATCATAGCCTTTCCTCATGAGTCTGCCTCTCTATGGCAGGGGTGGATCAAGGAACTGGGAGAAGCCTGCCAAGGTTGACCAGATGCCCAGCTCCTGCTGAGACCCAGGTCTGATGGCAGTTCCTGGCAGATTAAAGGAGGCCACTTCTAAAGCAAGTGCTGCACGGCTCAGTCACCGTGAGCTCTGGCCCTTGCTCCTACCTTGTGCCCCAAGTTGAAAACTGGTGGCTTTCCCCAGATTTTGAGTTTCTGGTCAGTAGCTCCGGGAAGCCGAGTGAACCCTAGGCTCATGTCTACTTCAGGATATAATTCTCCATCAAATATGCATCATTAGTAAAAGAGCTCTGCACTATTTGATCAATCTCAAGGGGCCTGGAAAAGTTAACAAGGACGTGGTCCCTGTCCTGCCCCACCACATTTTGCTGGCCTCAGAACATGAGACCATTTGGTTATTGGTGTCAGACACCTTTTGATCTTGAGCTCTCTCTCCCACCTGCTCTCCCAGAGCAGGATACTGGGGTACTTTCCAGAAGGGCACTCCTTAAAACATGCTCAGAAGGACTGTATTTAACTCTTGCTATTTGTAGCCTTGGGAAAGCCTCCCGTCCCTTAGGCACATAAGAGCAAAGGGTCACATGGTCAGTGGATGACTCTGCAGAAGTGACCCACTTTGCCAGAAGCTGTAGCCCTCTCCTTGACAGGCCAGAGGGCCTGTTTCCCATGGGCATTGCAAGTGCCACCGTGCGGGGCCTGGCTCTGCACACCCAGGAAAAGTCTGCAGATGCCCAGCCCTCCGCAATAATTCACCAGACCAGAAGCCACTGATGTACAGAGAACACTTAAGAAAAATGTATTTTATGTGAAAAAAAAGGTTAAAACTCTGTATACTGTATCAGGAGCTTTTGTGTACAAATGGCAATCAAGAGAGTCTAATATATTTAAAACTTTTTTTAAAAAAAACCCTCGCTGATCTTTGATATTGTATTGAAGTAATTTTCAGGTAACCCCTCACCATGCGGCAGTGGTGGGCCTCGGGTCCAACACTGTGGCTCCTCCACATCTTCGGCTCGTCGCACGACTGCTCGTCGGGCACCTACTTCCCCGAGCAGTCGGACCTGGAGCCGCCGCTGCTGGAGCTCGGCTGGCCCGCCTTCTACCAGGGCGCCTACCGCGGCGCCACGCGCGTCGAGGCGCACTTCCAGCCCCGTGGCGCGGGCCCCAACGGCCCCTATGGCTGCAAAGACGCGCTGCGCCAGCAGCTCCGCTCGGCGCGAGAGGTGAGCGGCCTGTCCGGCTCCTGGGGTCCGCGTCGGTCCCTGTCGACCCTCTTCAAGAATAGGAAATCGAGGCCTGCTGGGAGCGCGGGCCGGGCCCATTATCTCCTCTGCTCCTTTCTGTACGCACGGGCCGGGTGGACCCCAGCGTCCACGACTCACCCCACTCTGCGTGTCTCCCCTCGGTCCTGGGTCCCCCTGGCCTTTCCTAGTGGCAGGGGAGAGTGGGAGGTGCCTCCGTCCTCGAGGATGCGAACTGTGCCTGGGTTCTAACGCCTGACATTCGTATCCTGTGGGGGAGGGACCAGAAATACTCCCACTTCCAAATTTCAGTTAAAACCAAACCAGATTGCCAGTTTTTCTGGCTGTTAGCCAACACTTGGTCCTACTTCAGGGGCTTCTTACGAGACGCATTATCTAAGAAGAATGTACCTAGGGAAAAGTTCCTGAAAGATTGTCTAGAGAGAAAACTATGGGGCATTAGGAATCTATTAATACTAGTCACTTCCACGTGTCTTTCGTTGTGGAAAGCAAATAATACAAGAGTGGCAAAGTGAGAGCCCTGCCCCTTTCCCTCCTGCCACAGATGGAGGGGAAGTTGCTCCTTTTGTGAATGAGTTGGGGGCGTTGCTTTTCCCTAGGCTGGATCTGCTCCAGTTAGCAGTGGCCTCCTAAAATGCAAATGCCCCTGCATTAAGCCGTCTTCTCTATTCACAGTGGCTTTGGGTCCTATTTTCTCACTCTTAGTGTGGCATGGTGTTGGGGTGCAGTGAGAAGTCTTCTCTGCCTGCCAACCAGTATGAGGCTGCAGCAGGGTGCTGGGAATCTGGGGATCAGGGAAAAAGAATGCAGTGGACAAGGTGGGAGGGACAGGTAAGGGTATGGCAGCTAGACACCTAGTCCAGAGCCATGGTCAGCTGCCACATTGCTTGTGGACTGACAGTGCCCAGTTTCCTTGCTAGCTACCTGGGCCAGGGCATGGAGGTGAAGTCCCAGGCTGTGGTAAGACTTGGTAGGGCTGGAACCTGAGTGTGTCTGACTATGGGTAATATATTTCTGCATCAAGTCTGGGAACAAGCCCCGATTCTTAGGAGTGTTTCTGATGCTAGGTGTTCTTTACCTGACTGCTGGAGTTGCAGTGTTAATCCATACAGTGAGCTAGGGTCTTTCCTTTGGGGGAAAGGATGTGGTCTCCAGCTAGGCGAGCATTAGCCTTGTGGTGCTTGGGTAGGCTGAGGGTCCGTTTGATGCTGCAGACATTTTACTTGTGGGTTCAATGAGAAGATTAAAAAGATGGGAAAAGGCAGAATTGTGGGGTAGGTGTGCATTCCCAAAGCTCACCTCCAGGAGGAGAACTTGAACACTTGGAACTTGAGAAAAGGAAAGAACAGATCTCCAAGAAAAAGAGATATGGATTGCCGTAGCCTTTTGCCCAGTCCAAATTTTAGTGGTAGTGAAAGGGCACTGGAGCTAGAGGGAAAATATCTGTACACTCACGTGCTGGCCTTAGAAGGGGATCGAGGCTGGAGCTCAGACTCTCCCCCATCCTGTGGGCATTTTGTGATACTGACATTCCTGGGTAGAACCTCCTGTCCCATTCTGTCCCCTAGTCCAACTACATGGATCTGGATCTGTCCCCTAATCCAAGAACAATCCACTGTTCTCTCTGAGATTCTATATATAGAACTTGGGCAATTTTAACTGAGAAAGGTGGTTAAATTACCTTTAAATCCAATGAGTATTTTCAGTGTATCTGCCATATGCCAAATTATTTGCTTATTCTGTACCTACTTCGTATTGTACACTTCCAGGAGCTGGGGCCAAGAGAAAGGCATGGTTCTTGACTGCACTGGAGAGTGTACAGTTGGCTAGTGAAAAGCAGTGAGGAGTTTACTGCAGGCAGTGGGGGAGGGGTAGAAGAAAGTGTTTGGAGTGGTGCTGACCTCAGAGTTAGGTCCAGGAGGATGGGTGGGGTTTGCCAGGCCCAGGGGATAGGGACAGGACCAGAAGTGTGAAAGGGCCTGGCATGTTTGGGGGCAGCCAAATTCCCCATAGCTGGAGCAGAGAGTACATGATGGTTAGTGGTAGGAGAGGAGGCTGAAGGGGAAGACTGGAGCCAGACTGTTGAGTGCTTTGCACACTACCGAAGGAGCAGTGGGGAGCCATTGAAGGTTCAGAGGGAGGAGGGGAGCATGATCAGATTGGTGTTCCCTTGCAGCAATTCTTGTGGAAGCATGGAGGATGGGTTTGAGAGTGGTGAAATGTGTCCAGGACAGCTATAAGGAGGAGGCCAAAGGGATCTATGTACAAGAAGAGGGTCTATGCTAAGGCAGTGTGGGCAGGAAAAGAGTTTTAGGTAGAATTGACAAGACGTGGTGATTAGATAGCCTGGAGGCAGACGTGTGGGGGGAACAGGACAGTAGGCAAGGCTAGGAGAGGAAGATATAGCAAGAGTTAAGGAAGACTGAGGTTTTTTAGCTTGGGTGGACAGCAGTACTACCAAACTGGAATACTAGAAGAGTAAGGCTGAGGGTAAGGGATGCTGAGATGAGCTGGATTTGAGACATGCTGAATTTGAGGTCCCAGAGACCATCTCTTTTGGTTTTTTTAAGAAAACAGTAATCCCTTTTTCCAGGAACTGTTCTAAGTAATCCCAAGGTAGGCACAATTATTATCTCCATTTTATAGATGATAGAATGGGGGCATGGAGAACTTAAATTGCTCTGAGGCTGTTCAGCCAGGGAATGATGGAGCCAGGACTCAAACTGAAGCACAAGAGTCTCCTAACCACTCTTAGCCACCACGCTCTGCTGTGTTGCCATGTGTGGGGATAAGGAGCTTGTCCTCAAGTGGACAGAGACTTATGGGGGAGAGAGGTAATAGAGAGCTAATCTAGTGGCTGGTCAGGTGCTGCCACTCTATGTAAAGGCATGCATTGTGTACATGGGCTGTGTCACTCTGGCCACATATTTTGAAATCTAGTACCTGTGACAGTGAGGATCACGAAGGTGCACGTCTCAGGCTGTTTTCAGGATGAGATGAGAAGCTGTTCTACATCTGTGTTCCAATGACTGAGGTACTTAGTGATGATATGATTGAGCACTTTTCAACAGGTCAGTTTTTGTGCTAAACCCTTTACCTGGATTATCTCATTTAACCCTCCCATCCCTGGGAGGAGGCCACAATTAAGAAGAGAACAGGCACAGAGAAGTTAAGTACTTTGCCCAAGATCACACAGTAAGGGACAAAGCTGGGCTGAAGCCTGAGCCTGCCCTGCTCTGCAGCTGATGCTTTTAATCCCTACTCTACACAGCTTCCCTGCCATGAGGAAGGATTGGTACTTTGGTAGTTTTCAGCAGGCTGAAGGTTTTCGACAGTTTCTTAAGATTTGCACTTTTAATTTCCATGTTGCATATTCTGTAAACAGGAAAATGACAATGATAGTACGAGATCTGCCCTTTTCAGGAAGAAGGCTGGACCGGGGTGGTTGGTTTTAAGAGGAGGCGGCATTGAGCTAGCAGAGAACCTTCTGAACCCATCAGGTGGGGAAGGCGATTAATGACACCAGCATATAGGTCCCTGCGGTTCAGGTTTTATAAATTAGCATGTGTTTTCCCCTTCCTGGGAAAGGTAGAATCAGATATATATTTCTGGTACCTGGAGCAGAGGAAGTATGTGGGAATCTTTTGTTGGGCATATTTAGGAACTTTGAATTCCATGTGAAGTGGCCTACATAGTGACACCAGAGGTTGGGGTCAGGCTGCACTAGAGAAGGGTCAGACCTAGGTGTTTGCTCCCTGCAGCTCTGTCTGCCCTGACTGAGGAGGTGCTACAGCCTGCATCTTCAGGCCTGGCTCTGGAAAGAGCGTGGATAGGAGCTCCATGACCAGGGTTGGGCACAGGAAGCCAGGGTCACTTAGTGGCAGGGCCTAATCCTGGCTTTGCAGCCTGAATGGATAGTTCTGGGATAGGTTTTATTCTGCAGCTCTCTGACCACACAGAATCACCCAGGGCATCTGGCACATAATAGGTGCTCATTAAATACTGTGGAGGCCTATTATATGTACCTTTACTCATGCAGCTACATGCTTTTGGGGGAAGAAAAAGGACAGAGAGGGAGGGCAGAGGTAGGAAGGAAGAAAACCAAATAGTTCAGGTGATTCTCTCTGCCTTTCTACTGAGCAAGGATTTGTCCCTGGGTGGGCATGACTGGGGTTGTGAATCTGCCAGCTCCCCCATTGGCTCGGTTTCTGCACACCTTTCATGCCTTTCAAATTGTGGGCATCTACCACACTGAGGTACATGTTTAAAAACATGATTTATGTATAGCATGGCTTGAATAAGAGCTGTCTGCTTACCTGGTGCTCAGAGAACTTCACCAAAGCTGGAGGAAGTACTGCTTTGGACCTTTTGAAAGCCCCTATGTTTGCTTCCTAAGGAATTTTTAGAATAATTTTGAACTATATGGGATTTTTTTCCTTATGCACTTGCTCTAGAATCTATGCCTATTCTACTCTATCCATTGGTGAATTATTCCCTTCTTTGTCTCTGTTGCCCTGTGAATCAGCATTTGGCTGGGCTGGGGCCCCCTGCCTGGAATGGTGCATGACCTCATTTGGCAATGGGCTTATGATGTGGATGTCTGGGTATTCCTGGTTTCTGAACGGGAGTTCCTGGCAAAGCTCATCCTACCCAGAGGTTTTTCACTCCTCAGAGCCATCCTTCTTGCCAGCTACTTATTCCCTGCATGCTTTACTTCCAAAGAGGCAACCTTTTTTTTTTTTTTTGCAAGACCTCACCCTTGGGCATCCTTATAGTAATGATGGTTTTACAATATTTTGAATGTAATTAATGCTACCGAATTTTACACTTAAAGATTATTAAGATGGCAGATTTATGAGATATATATATATATATATATATATATATTTTTTTTTTTTTAACCACAATAAAAAAAAATGTCTCCAGACATTGCCAAATGCCCTCTGGGGGCAAAATCATCC